AATGAGCGCTGCAAAGGGAATACTCAAAGTATCAATTACAGACACATTCATATTATGCTGTGTGTTCACACGTATGCCTGTCGTGAGCAGGGAGCAAACCCAAATGCCACATGGGTGATGAAAAATGACAAGCAAAAGATGTACCGCAGTGGCACTCCTGGGCCACATCCCTTCAAGGGAGATACCCAGAGCATCTGGGAAGGATATTGAGTCCATCAGGGTCCCCAGTGTCACATGACTTTCCCAATGGCCACTGCCCTCTAAGAGGACAAGCCCTGTTGCTAAGAGGACCAGAGTGAGAGCCACCAGCTCCAGCACTTAGGCAAGGACAGCTCAGTGCAAGGGCCCATCTTGTCCACAGCCACAGGCTGATGCCTGGGCTCTGGGCTTCCCTTCCCACCTCATTCTCCCAGCTGCTGGCAGAGCCGACCATGGGACTGGGTAGGGTGGGAGGGCGCTAAGGGAGCACAAGACACATAGACTGTCCTCCCAGACCCATCAAGCTCAGTCTTCTTGCATGACTCAACAGGAAACCAAGTGTCCTTGGAGTTTTCATTCATTCGTTGAATCATTCATTCATTCCCAAGCATGAATGGAGTTCCTCCTAGCATTGATTCTGCTTGGTTGGGAAACTCAAAAACAAAACAAAGGACTTTGATGGAGCTATAACTTGAGGCTGAGTGTCAAAAGGGATGAGGTAAATGCCCAACTTTTTCAGGGGTGCAAGGAAGGGCGCACGTATCTTGAACCTCAAAGGGACAGAAGATTCTCACAGGCAGAGGGAAGAAGAGGGCATCTCTGAGGAGACAATGGAGTCAAGGCTGGGCAGAAGGCTTGGGCCACACTGAGGATGGTTCTGACTCTTGGGCTGCATTCTCAGGGCAGGAGGAAGGAGGCAGCAGGAGCAAAGCCGGGGGAGGAAGAGTCCAGGCACAGAGGCAACAAGACTCCACAGAGAGCTAGGGCATGATTCCAGGAAGAGACGGCAAAGGCAGGAATCTGTGGGTGCAAGAGAGACAATGCAGAGGCAAAACCACTTAATGCACAGCAGCTCAAGGATTTTACCCAGTGATACCAGGAAGCAATGTTCTAGGACTCGATTCAGGAAACACAGCAGAGCTATCACCCAAGAAGCACCTTGGGTGCACTGTACCCAGGGCTCTACACTCCCAGGGAAAGCCTTGAGCTTAGTCTGACAGAAATGACACGCAAGGCAAGAATTCAGTCTGTGGGTCTGGCACTGACTCCAGAGAGCTACATGGTGGGCTCTCCAAATCTACACATTCTGTATCTGATTCTAGCCAGCCTAGCATAAAAAGATTTTTTCTTCTAACTGCATCCTACTGAACTCATTTAGGTTTCCCTCTTGTCACCACGCCTTGTGCTGCTTAGTTTTACTACCAACTTGACACAACCTAGATTTACCTGGGAAGAAGAAACCTCAACTGAAAACTGGCTCAGACCAGACTGGCCTGTGGCTGTATCTGTGAGAGACTGTCTTGACTGATGATTGATATGGGAGGGCCCAGTCCACTGTGGACAGTACCATCCCCCAGGCAGGAGGGCCTGGGCTGTCTAAGAAAGCTAACTGAACTTGAGCAGACAGTAGCGTTCCTACTTGAGTTCCTGCCTTGATTTCCCTCATTGATGAATTGTGACTGGAAAAAGTCAAGTTGCTTTTGGTCATGGTATTTATTACAGCAACAGAAAAGCAAACTAGAACAGACCCTGAAATAATAAAGTACATCTATTTGTATAGCATTTACATTGCATTACGTATTATAAATAATTCAGAGGTGATTTAAAGTATCTGGGAGGATGTGTGGGTGATATGTAAATATTATGTCATTTTATACAAGAGACTTGAGCAGCCTCATATTTTGGTACCCTTGTCGGGGTCCTGGGACCAATCCTCATTTTCCCAAAGTGGCATCCCAGCCATCTCAGTAACCCACCCCAGCCACAACTATGGAGCTAGTCTTAGACGCTGTCTGCACGCTATGTCTGGTGTCTCTGCCCACCCATCCCTGGATACAAAGGGCAAACGGCAATCCCCCACCCTATGCTGGGTCACCTCACAAAGATCTCATTGTGGAATGCTCAACAGCAGGCTCAGCTTGATGGCAATAATATTATTTTCTGCTGCTGTCATGTTGCCTTCTTCATATTGGAACATTTGGCTGCATTTTCCTTAGCAAGCAGAGCCTTGACGGACAGAAACAGAGCCTCCAGGGCCTGTTACAAAGGAACCATAGCCAGCAAGGGAGAGGTGAAGACTCGCAGGTGACAGGAATTAGAGGTAAGAAGGGTGGAACGGAAAAAGTGTTGGCACCTTTTACCCAAATGTTTGGTTAGACAACAGCCATAAATCCATCAAGTCTGCACTTGAATTTGTTTAAAAATGCCCAAAGCCTCTTTCTGACTTCAATACACATTCAAGACTCCATGGGTCTCTTTTAAAGAAGCAAACACCAACATCTGCATCAAGCTAAGCCCCTGTGCAAGGGCTCCTGCCCTGAGGACCAAGCCCCAGACACACACTCATTTAAGCCAGGCAGAATGTATGCCCAGCAAGCAGAAGACAGAAACCTAACCTGATTCCCTCATCTGCCCCAAGGGGAAGACAGCGGGCTGGGGGGCAATTCTACACAGATCAGCAACCACTGGGAGCTTTTGCAATAGTCATTAGTATTTTTCACAGACTAGCAAAGCGATGAAACTTGGGTGTGCCAACTCTGGGCACACTGTGCCCCCCTCCACTTACCCTCATTCTTTTTTTTCACCTTTTACAGCATTCCAACTGGAACCCAGGGCCTCATACATGCTAGGCAAGTACTCTACTTCAGAGAGATATGCTCAGATCTTTGAGATCTGTTCATCCAACCCTCCAATCCCCACCACTACTACTGCTGAGCCAAACTGATTACATCATGGAGCCACACTCATGCAATCATATTCCATCCCATCACTCCCTGTCTCCCGTCCTGGCCATTGCCACCAGGCCCTCTGCTGATCATCTCCGGTTCCTTCAGTCAGTGTAGTACACACTGAGGAGACACTCATCTGACACCAGGGGACCTGCCTGGGTGAAAGGGAAGAAGCACAGAAGCTCTGAGGGGAGGCAGAAGGTCAAGGAAAAGTTGGGAAGGACAATGGTCCTGTGGCAGGGGAGGGACAGGAAGGGGCAAGGGGCAGCTTGAGGGGCTTGGGCACAGATTAAGTTCAAGGAGTGAAGGGGCACACGCAGGCTCGAAGGGCACAAAGAAATGATGGATGGCGCCTCTCAGGCGAGTCTGAGAAGAAACAGAATCTTCTGCATCTACAGAGCAAACCGCACGTGGTTAGAGAAAAAAAATCTCTGAGCTCAGTATACCGCCAGTGTGGGAGCTGGGAAGGCCCTCTGGTCTGCAATGCAAAACTTTCCCTGTACAGATGAGCCAATGATGCCCAGAGGCGTTAGGGGACCTGCCTGTAGCCACACAGCAGGTTCACGCTGAAAGGAGACTTGATCCCCAGACTCCTGGTTCCCGGTGGGAGGTGTTTTCCAATCAGAGGGTTCCCACTAAGCAATTCTTCCAATGACCAATGTCACTGGTCACTCTCTTAGAAAATATTATTCACAGAATACTGACCCTCGGAGGCCAGTGTACAGGTGTCTGTCTGAACTCAGAGCTGAGGTGGGTTACCACCTTGCCTTGGACTTCCTGGATCATGCTTGAGTGGTCTGGGCTTCCTTCCGCTTATGCTACCAAGGAAGGGGTCAGGAAGCCAAGTGCCCACTCAGCCAAGTGAGTCCCAAGCAGCTGACACAACAGCAAGCTCTACCCAAACCCTGGTGAGGCAGGCCTGAAGGGCTCCCCAAAGAGTGGCACCCACGGGGCTGCAGCAGGACAGGACATCAAGGAACACACCTGAAGGCTCTGACTCAGGGGTGTGACAGGATAGCTGAACCTGCACACTGCAATTCCCATGCTTCTAAATGCCAGGATGGGAGAACACCAGGGGGTCAGTGTGATTTAAAATGCGGGGGACATCGGATATTGCTTCCCTAGCTTCAGGAGAACAGATGAGAAGCTTCCAGACAGACTCCACAGTCATAGTTATCACCAAAAAAAAAAAAAAAAAAAAAAACAACACCCAGTAAGACAGGCTTCAAAAAGCACAAACTGAAGTTTCTCAGCATCAACCCTCTTCCCCACTTATCAAAAGGCACACTAGACTCAGACCATTCACAAGCACCAGAGGTGCTGTGCCCAGTGAATACATGATTAAACCAAGATTACAAAGCCCTCAGAGCACTATCTCAAAGGCACCCACTTTGGGTGCCTGAAACCTTCCTATCTAATGAGAAACTAATGTCAGTTGGTCCTGCTCCAAGAAAGACAACCTAACTCATTCAATGTTCAACCCAGGCTAGAAAGTGTCTCCTCATTTGATCTTCATATATTTGGAATAGAGGTTTCAGGTTAGCATTTAATTTGCACCTGAGCATGGTGGCATGCATCTGTCATCCCAACATTTAGGAGTCAGAGGCATGAGGATTGGAAACTCAGGGCTAGCCTCAACTACACAGCAAGTTTGAGGCCAGCCTGGGCTACATAAGACCCTGTCTCAACATGCCCCTCCAAAAAAACACACTTCATTTGTTTACCCCATCTCCATTCTAAAAAGTATACTTATAACATTTTTTAATCCAATATTTATGAAAAGACTTCAAATGCTGTACTTTCATAGCTCGATCACATTTTGCGGTCAAGGAGGACAAAAACCACCAAGTCAGTAAAGTAACCAACCTTTCCTCTAACCCAAATTCCCCAGAATCTTATGCTCAAGTTCAAATGGAGAATCAAAGTTCAACAGAAAATGAGAATAAGAAAATTAGAGTTAACTCTCTCTGAGAAGGTAGATCAGACTGCTGCTCAGTTCACCGACTTCTAGAAAGAAACAACACAGACTCATTTTCCTGGATCCACATGAAGGTGATGGTGGTCAAGGCTTACTGATCATGGTGGTTCCACCGGCCAGGGCGGCCTTGGTTCCTTGGAAGAAGTCATCAGCTGACGTCATTCCCTGATCTGGCATCTGGAACCGAGTATGCACATCTATTCCTCCGGGGATCACCATTCTAGAATGGGCTTCAATGGTCTTCACCCCTCCCGGCACAATCAGGTTTTCTCCTATTTGCCTAAGAAGATAAGAGTTGAGAAAGAGGTAGCCAATAAAACCCGGAATCAAACTGAATCTGACATCTGGTTTCATGAAGCTATAAACAGTCCCCACTATGTGCTGGGCACTTCTCAGGTTATTGCTGTAATTTGTCATGGGGGCACTGCCCAGTTCTCAGGCCTGAATATAAGGGGATACAGGTTAAATGAGAAAACAAAGGTTACATAAGCCAGCCAGGTACGGCAACTCCTGCCTGCCTGAAACTGCAACTCTTGGGAGCCTGAGGCAGAAGGATCTACCTCTAGTCCAAGGCCCACTTGGCTACACAGCCAGTTCCTGGACAATTTGGATTAAAGAATGAGACCCCTGTTTCAAACAAAAATTCTGAAAGGTAGCAAACGCCCTATTCAATGACTATCAGGGCCCTCAGAAACCACATTATAGCAAGGCCCTAAGCCATTCCTACACAGTGTCACTTAGGCCTCTTCTAATGTCATTGGGCTCATTCTCCAATAGTAATTTGCTCCAGACTTGTCTGCTCTTTCCAAATATTTGTTTTTATCATATCCTTTTCAATACAGGGGAAAGCGAGATGGAAGGGTGGAGGGAATGGAAAACACACACACACAAAGTAAGCACTGGAATTCCAACCACTGTAAACGTGGAAGCAGGTGCTCATGGATTCAAAGAAAGACAGAGAAACAAGTATCTATCCTGATGATGACATGCTTCAATTCCAACTTTTTGGTTTTCGTGGTTGGTGTTTGTTTTGTTTGTTTTTGCTTGTTTTGTAACCAGGGTCTCATCATTTCCAATTAAGAATACTTTATCCCATATTTCTACCAATTTTTTAAAAAGGAAAATTAATCAAAGGAGTTAAATTTCCAAGACAAGTGACTGATGGCTAAAAATAGTACAGGGGTGCTCCATTCCAGGCCAATGTCCTTCAGCCAGACTCATCATGTGTCTTAGAATTGGGGATGGGAATGGGATAAGAAAGTCAGAGTATGTGAGAGTCCAGAGCTGAGACTGCTGCAGGCAGACACACATGGAGAAAACATTAACTGTGGAAATGTTAAGACTAATTTTTGATGTTTAAATCGGGGTATAAGCTTCCAGGCAATCCAGCCCCTCCCCGTCTCCAGACTAACTTGCTCTGCATTTGATGAATACTGCTTATTTAAAAGATGTCATTTGCCTTGCTGTTTGTCTAAGCAGATGTGCTCCTCCTCCAGCGCCTATAAGCTGTCCCAGAAGGAAGGGTGTACTAATGCACCCAGCTAACCCTCCCAGAAAACCCAAACTCCTAACAGTTCTTCTGTTCCTCTTCATAACCCATTACACAAGAAACTCAGGTGGCCTTATTTGTGCCAACTGCCACTTCAAGAATGAAACCTAAAATTCCCCCAGGATTAGGCAGTAATTTGTCTGAGTTGCTTGGTAATTAACTTGTTATCCTTCTATGGTTCCTCTCACAAGAATTCCAGATACATCTCTTGATAGGACAGGTTGTATTCCACATTTATGTCCTGTGCTTGGACAATGCATCCCAAACTACGGTCTGGGAAAATCTTCCGTGTGTATCAGTCTATCACAAACCAAGCATATAAGCTAGTAACAAGATGATAGTGTGTCACTTCTGTTAAAAATAGTAAATTACATAATACATGGGTGTGTCTATGTATGCTGTGACTGTAAATTCCCTAAATCTGAATTCGCAGATTCATTAATTACCACCAGTAAAAATTAGCTTAACAAATACTAAACTGATCACTTTTTATTTGTGGGGGGGGGGACAGAGTCAACCCAGGCCTTGTTTACACCAGATGAGCACTGTACCAACCTCACTACATCCCCAGTCAAGTTTGGAGGCTCTTTGCATCACTAAAGCTTTGAGACTGTGTACACGGACAGAGAGCACTGGGAGGCATGCAGATACACACCTCCACACAGTAATGAATCACACTTACTTGATCAACCCATCTTCCATGTATATGTCTGCATAGAACGACTGGTCATCATTCACAATTTTACCGCCTTTGATCAGAAGCCGATCACTCTGAAACAAAGAGGTAAAAAGGTCAGAACGCATAACGAGAGTAGATGAAGCACTGAGGTAAGTGAGCCCTCGGGCACATTTTCACTACTCCAGGGAGTTGCTCAAAGCCAGTGAATTTTGGAAAGCTGCCTTAACCAAGGTGAACCTGTATGTAGCAAGCTGTTCATCACCTCATGAGTCAAAACACGCAGGCAAGTTCATCCTAGATAGACAAACGAGCCATCTCTTTCCAGAACACTCTAGACCCAAAACCCAAAAACTGAAGAGTGTTACAAAGCACTCTCATTGAAGAAGGCAATGCTTTGGAACTGACTTTCGACAAAACCTCATCTTTAAAACAAAATTCACCACCCACATGTAGGAAAGTCACATTCTGGCAAGGTTTTTGTCCAGGAAAATTGACCAAAAGTCTGTTGTCATGGTACATGCTACACAAACACACAGACTTCAGCCATATTGGGATTTCAATTCAGTATGTTCATTATGTGAGCATTTATCTTTGGGATACATTACAGCAAGACAGTGGAGGGACTACAAAATATGAACCATTTTAGCAGGGAAGAAAAAGTTAAACGTTTTATGATGAATTAGGGACATGGGAAATTTTAGAATCTAACATCACTACAAACTATTGATCCATTTTTGTGTACAAAATAAAGATCAATCAGACCAGGAGGGCCAAGAACGCACAGAAGAAATGCTACTCTAAGACGCATGGCCATCCCAAATACTATTTCTAGGATGTATGCGATAAGATCCTGGGTTGGGTGGATGTACACATATTTCAGACTAAATTTAAGTTTTACATGTTGAGCCCTTTGAAGAACTGCCCTTTTAAAAATGCTGTATCTTTCAAAGATCAGTATCCATCTTAACAATAGGTAACCCAGAACTCAGTTACAAAATAAAAAATATTCTGGCAGGTGCTACTTATACTATACAGCTTGAAAGGAGATCATAGAATATCCTTAAAATATACAAAAGCTATGATATAGCAAAGTAAAAGATAGTTACACATAAATGCCCATACTACTGGGCTTAGAGAGTATTTATTATTTTTCTTACACGAAAAAACAAGACCAGTTTAATTTTGCACTACGGAGTCTTTCTTACCAATGCAGGTATTTGAAAAGTCCTTGAAATGATCAACATGGAGAGGATGAAGGTAAAATGGTTACTAATCCTGTCCCTCACATCATGCTATCTAAGCTTCAGGGTGCATGGAAGCAAGATTTTATTACCATGACACATAAGGAAACTGAGGTTCAGCGAGCTTAAGCCTGCAAGGATCTCTCCTTTTCTCCCAGAGGGAGATGTCTTAAGTCTGAGAGTCAAGGAAAAGCCCTGCCCTTCACAACCACTCTCAGTCACTGCAGTACCTGTCCCAGTCATCACTGCAAATCCCCCAGCCAACACGCCTAGGGAAAAAAAAAATCATCACATCCTGTTCACTCTAGAGTGTTCTAGAAGGCTTCTTACATAAGAGGCTGGCCATGGTGATGGAAGGAGGAAAACACATTATGGGTCCTAGGATATACAACTACAGTTTTTTCAAGGCTGGAGGACGCACTCTCTTAAAAAGTGGTCTTGTTGATTGTTTCCCTATTTTTTTCCCTCCTCACAATGTCAAAACGAAACTACCTTGCTCAAACTGCCTTGTTCATTCTCCAAGACAGCAGATCTGCCCCCCACCCCCGACTGGACGCCTTCATCTGGCGCAGAAAACACCTAACAATTGAGACTTCTGTATTAGCCCTTGGAGATCTGGGGAACACGGGGCAGGGGGGTGGTTGCCTTGAGAAAAGGCTAGTACCCACCCTGGTTGTAGAACCACCCAGCTCAGCCCCAGCACACTCCCCTCCCCTATGCAAACGTTCCAACACCACTCTGGCAGATGGGTGTGTCCTTGGAGAGGAGGCCTGGGTCCCAGGGCCACAGAGACAAGCAAAGCAAAAGTGCGCCCTCGAATCCTGCCTTAAAGCCCATCTTGTATGTTTGGAAGGATGCTTTCAGGTCTGCATGACCCTGGGTCCTCGCCAGCCACCCGCTGGCCAGTTCTATCGCACTGCATTATATAACAATGAATTTCCCTAGCGACTCCCCTTCCCTGGGATTTCTTTCCAGAATGTAGAAAATAGGACCGATGAGATCTAGACCTCTCTCTCTCTCTCTCTCTCTCTCTCTCTCTCTCTCTCTCTCTCAGGAAACGAGGGAGAGGGACTGGGGGGCGGGAGGCATGACCCGGTGCATCTCCGAAGCATCGAGAATTCCTTGCAGAGATGCATCCGGATGGAGGCCCCGGGCAATCAGGCCGACTCCTCCGGCCGCCGTGATCATTGTCTGGGGCCGGCCGGGCCATCTGCTCGGCGTCGCTCAGCCAGCGCCATTACCTCCGCGAACCCGGCTTGCTGCTGTCCCCAGCGCCCACCCTCCCGGCCCGCTTTGTATGCGACAGCACGGCCGCCTCCCCGGTGTAGAAAGGGCAGAAGAGACACCAGAAAGCGCGCCCAGACCCCGGCCAAGCCAGGGGGCTCCCCAGGTCCTCCCGGGTCCACAAGAGCCCCTGCCCTCCTCCCGCGCGCAGCACTGGATCCCGGTCCACCCTGCCCTTTCCAGCATCTCTGAGCTGTCGTGACGCCTCCGGGCTAGGACCCGCTCCTTCTTGCAGGAGGAAGGCTCCAGAAAGCTCTTTCTGGTGGGGGCAGAGGGCACCGGAGGCTCTATTTCCCCGGCTCCCCGCAACGCCGCGGCTCGGGAGCCCAGCCTCGCAGCACGTAGCCCGGAGAACAATATCCGAGCGGCGACCATGCATATTCAATCTGGCATCCATTTGCTCGCACGCACCCCGCGGACCAGCGCTGCAGCATCTCGCGCTGACAATAAAGGATACAGCGGATCTGGCGCGCTACCCAAGGCTACCTCCACGCACTCCCGCGCCTATTTCAATGCCTGGCAAATTACGTGCCTTATAGCTCTTACCGTTGTTATTGTATCTCCCCACCCCCACTTCCACCATCAACACCATCGCCTTCGAAGGCAACGGGGGGGGTGAAAAAAAGTTGAATCTCTCTCCCTCCTCCGCCTTAAAAAGAAAATCCTTAGATGTTCTGTGCCACAAAAGGTTGCTGGCCCCACCAAGACTCCCAAGTACCAAACTTACCGTGATGCGTGGAATATTTTTCTTCCCCTGATAAGACATCTCTCTCCTGGGGGGGGGGGGTAATTTCAAGAGGACAGCTTTAAAGCAAAGGATGCCGGAAAGGGGACTCGGTAAATAAAAATATATTTTTTTGCTTTTTGCAGGATTGAAAACGGTCTTGCTGCTAGATTTCAGGAATGTAAGGGACAGATGCAATCCTCTGCCTCCCTTCCTCTCCTCCAACACAGGCGGAAAAAAAGAACGAGAGAGAGAGAGAACAGGAGGGAAGGGGGTGGAAATAAACTACAGCAATAAAAGCCTCGCTTCGAGTCGGCCACCGCGGCGCATGCGCCGCCAGCCACTCCCTTTCCTCCCAGGCAAAAGCCATCCGCTTCGAGAGAGGCGCTCCCTGATTGGCTGCGCCCGTGGGATATGCAAATGAGGGCCGGCGGGGAGGGGCGCGGCGGGCGCCCGCTGCTGCAGTGCGCGTTGGAGGGCGGCGGTCGGTGCGTGCGCCCGAGTGGGGTGCGCGCCTTTCGCGCCCTTTTCTTTGAGCCCCGGGGCGGACGAGCGGAGACTGGGGCTGGCGGTGGCCCAAGATGCTGCGGGGACAATGGCGGAGTGGTCGTCCGAGGGGGAGGGGGCGCAACCCCGAGACGGAGGGGCTTCGGTGCGGCCCGGGCGGCACGCACACGCCCGCCCGCGCGCCAATCCGCGGAGGCAGCCGCTGCAGCCCCGCGTGGGGTGACTGAGCCGAGCCAATGGCTTCGCTGGCGGCGGGCGCGCGACTGCACCGCCGGTCGGCGCCGCGCGGCCCGGGAGGGGCCTGTGTGCCCGGCCTCCCCCTCCACCCCCCGCCCAGCCTCCGCCCTGCAGCGGGCCGGGGAGCTGCAGCTCCGAGAAGGGATGCGGGGATGCGGGAGGCTGGCACCGGCCACGCCCGGGAGCGGCTGGTGAGGCAGGGGACTGCCTGGCAGCTGGAAGGGAAGCCCGGAGGAAGCCCGGGCAGCATCCGGGAAGGGACGCCCCGCCCTTGAAAAGGCCTTTTGTGCCTACAAGCCACCAGGAACTTGGGACAGAGGCCTCGGCCTGTGGAGGCACCAAGGGCCCACATGGTGTCCTGATCGCCCCCTTGGCTGGCATGCCACCCCCTTTGTGGGGTCGGTCAGGGGGTGCCTTTAGCTGGCGCCTGCAGATCACGGGAGGTAAAGCTGCTGGAGCTCCAGCTCCGGTGAACCCCAAGGTTCCCACTGCACCTCGTAAGGCCAGAAGCAAAAGAGATGAGCAGGGATGAAGAAGGGAGATGAACTAGAGACAGACCTTAGATGCCTAAAATGGGGAAACGGAGTCACAGAGAGGCATAATCCCGCCACCACATTCAAAGTTAAAAACAACCCCAGAGTCTTGACGTCCCAGCAGAAGTCACTCTTAACGGCTCTCCAGATCTCTCTTAATTGCACTAAAGAAACAATAGGTCTTTGATTTTTGTCAAGCGAGGCAGTGATGCGCTAACAATACTTGTGGAAGGGAAGAACTCCTCCTGGTCCGGTGGACCTGGGGTGGTTCCCAGGCTGATAACGAGGAAAACTGCCAAATGGCTTTGACCTCTGCTTGAGATCAAATAGTGCATGTGGTCCCTACTTAATCTAGGCCGTTGGGCAGCCTTTTAGGGGTGGGGAGTGTCTGAATTGGCTCACACCTGCTCAGCAAAGATTAGCCAGATACAGAGTAATCCTGTGTGCCAGTGGCTTTCTGTGCCTGGCACTGTAGGGGTCCTCTGACTTTCCAGGCTCAAGGGTGGTATAAAATTCACCCTTTCAATTCCCGTCTCTTAACATCTACAGTCCCAGAGGGAGGGCTC